ATGTCTCAGTATAACAAAGTCTTGTGTACGTAAATTGTAATTATTTTCCATTGTTTGGAATAATTCAGAGATGTACTTTGTAGGCTGAACATTAACACCATCAGGTCTTGTAGTCTTCTATTACGTAAAGTAGGTATTCCTGCTTTCTTTAACAGATGTTCGTATGTTGACGCACTGTCCTTTCTCCTATATCATCTCCAATTTCCACCGATCAGATGCTCTAAGGGATATCCAAACAAGTGAGTAATAGTTTAGCTTCGGGATAATTACCGCTTTAAACGATGTAACCTCGTCTTTTCGGGAACTAGGGTCTTCATCCTCAACAGGACACCAATTTTGCAGTTTGCTTTCTTACAGACTTGTTGAATGTGTGCACCAAAACTAAGTTTATTATCGATAAGAACTCCTATTAGTGTTAATGATCTTGTGCATTCAATTTCTTCATTATCAATGACAAATCTGCGTCTCTTGCGTATTATAATAATATACATTAATAATAATAATCATATGAACATATCCAGTGAGTGGCAGGGTGGAGGACTTGAACCCTGGCCACCGGATTTCAAGTCCAGCACCCTAACCACTCGGCCACGCCGCCTCCTATTAGCTTTTGGAGCTAGAAACATTGCCTGGAGTTTGCCTTTGTTTGACTACAGGAAATTATTTTCATACCAGTTGCATACAATCTTAGCCTCTTGTTTAACAGAGTAGCAACGTTTTGAGTGAGCTGATGAGAGGCACATATTTGATGGTCGTCTGCATACATAGAAAAATCACAGTTTTTATTACTATAACCGCCGCCTGGTTAGCTCAATTGGGATAGCGCCGGACTGCTGTGCGGGAGGTCGAGAGTTCAATACCGGCCGGACCAACACTCAGGGTCTTAAAATTAACTGAGAAGAATATGCTTCCTTTCTTTAACATCAAGAAATGGTTAGATATTCTAGTCTTCTCGGATAGGGACGAATAAATGGAGGTCCCGTCTCCTGCAGGGTTAGGGGCAGGAGACGTTAATTTCCCACGCACGAGATTACTGTGTGATGGATGTCCTCCCCTGGGGTGGGATGGGTGGGTAACAGGACCCCCGTTGATACCAGTGTTTACTACACTGAAGGGGCTATCCTGTATAAATATAGATGTCTGTCTGTCTGTCTGTCATCCCTCAAGTTTAGCGTTTCGTTTACTCTTCGTCGGCTTCCTTGGTCTGGGGTTTTTCTAGCCCTATCTCAGAATCAACCAAGAGAATAAGGCGTGCTTTTTCTTCTGCGTAAAATACTCCACAACCGAAGTGAAGAACGGAAAGAAAATGGCGCTCAAAGTTTGAATGCGTAATTCAACCCTCGCTGCTCGACAGAAATTGACGATCATTCGCTGAAAATGCATGACGTAAGCACTTAGTTTGTTAGCGTAAATGCGTTCTTGCATTTGAAAACTTCACATCGCCAGTACAAGGAGTGGTCAGCTAACTGGATGTTTTGCAAACACATGTATACATGACTGCGTATACTCAAGTATACATGCAGTATACTTAAGTCAAGTATACATGCAGTATACTTGAGTCAAGTATACTGCATGTATACTTGACTCAACTCGGCGAAACTGCTGTTATTAGGTGTTCAAGATGAATAAATGATCACGAGGTTTTTAGGAATAAAATAGATGGGTAAATAGGAAAACGCATTTCATCATACCCGCTTGATCATATCATATTTTTGCCACAAACGGTAAGTGGACAAAAGACGTGCATAGTTTTGCGGTACACGTCAAATTTTACTTTAGAATGCATCTGAGTATTTCCGATTTTTCTATGTTGTTTTTTTTTCCTTTAAAACCTTAAAGGTGCATTTATAAAGAGCACTCATTAATTTTAAAACAAAACAAATTGTAGAGAGCAACAATTATTGAAGCTCAGATCAATCGCCTCCAAGTTTTCGAAATTTCACGAACGTAGAACAGGAGATGAGGGATTTGGTACTAGCGGCCATTCCGGAAACTAGCTTCGTCCAATTCCAATGTTGCAAAGTAACACTAGAATTTCCGCCCGTCAAACTAGCTTAACACATCTGAATTGCCAGCAAAATCAGACGGAACACTGGACATGTAAAATCCCAGGTCTTTGTAATTGTGAGCTAAGTGGACTGTGACCTTAATGCAGTAAATCTAAGGGTCTGTTTACATGGAGGTGGGACCCTCGGTATGTAAAGTAACCCGCCTAATCATGGTCGAAAAATAGCCGGCGACTCCAACAAAATCTTACAAGCCCTGGTTTCCGTAGCGAAGTTTCTCGAGGTTGTTGTCGCGCTTACAATTAGGGAGTTTAAAGTGTCACTGCGGCGACGTGTAGTAAAACGTTGCCAAAAAACTTATTTTTCACCTAGACTTTCCCCAATAGCTCGATGCGTAACATGTATATGTAGTGTTGAGTTCAAAGCAAAAATGTTACTAAATTGCTGTCGAGGTTTCCTCGCTAAGTGGATGTAAAAGTTGTTGTTGAACGTTTTAGTTCTATGTGGGACGGCTAGGAAGTGGGCAGATCTAGAGTTTTAAAACCCACGCGTTTCGCTATTGTTCTGCTTATTTCACATCTTACAGTATGGACACCACCCCGGCTAGGCGGGTTACCCCACCTTGATACGTTTAGATTATGAGTTGTTATCCAGGCCTACAGGTTTACCCTAACCGACAGACTGCCTAAGCTATCATGTAAATGTGATCAAGATAAAATTAGAGATTATATGGAGAAGATTATATGGTCTGATTATATAGATTATATGGTCTGATTTTCACTATTGCTCAAATAGTGCTTTACTGCGAAGGATCGTGCACATATACATATATGGAGAAGATTATAAGGTCACCTACCTGGGGACCTCGCCTCCATGCAAACAGGCACTCAGTCTTTAATTTATCAAAATAGTCGATGAAAAATTAACGGTCAGCGAAAGAAGTCTCCGAAATTCAAAAAGGAAAAAACAAAACAAAACAATCAACAAACAAAGGATTTGTGCAGTAGTTAGTGTCAGAGAGTTGTAAAAGAAGAATGGAGTCGAAAGAGTAACGTTGGACTTTATTATCAACTCGTCACGTGATATGACATGTCAAGGTTTAAATACTTGTTCATTAAACAGTCAAAGAAGGCAAACTCAGGAATATTTGGTGACAATCATCATAAAAGATGGGAAATACGCAGAAAATAGGGACCGTGCAGGGGGTGGGGCTGGGGGGGGGCTTTGGGCACCCCACTTTTTTGGCTGATTGAATCAATATTTTTTTTACTTAGAAGTTAGTCTATTCATTTAAATTTGGTGAAACGTGAAAGCCAGTTTGTTACTTGTTGTTTTGTAAGAATTAAAAATTAACTTCACTTTTGGCAGGTTTAGATCAATTTCTAGCCATTTTAGAAGACTTTAATTTCAAATTTTCCGGGGGAACATATCCCCGGACTCCCCTAGTTGATGCCAACGCTTACACAAACAGTCAGCATAAGCGTTGTAGATTCGGGCCTATTAATTTTACCAACCTCGTGATTAGTTTTTGGTCGGGGAGTGCTGCCCAATTCTCTAAATTCTGATATTTTTTTTCAATCTAGCAATCCTTATTTCCATTCGTAACGTTAACGGAGTGCTTTGCAGACGTTGTCATAATTTGATATGGTGATTTGTTACCTCGAGCGTAGTCAAAACGTGGAGAGAACAACCAGTTTGAACAAGACGAGCACGACAGCTTCTAAAGAGCGACCTCAGCATGGTGGTAAATCAAAGAGGCACGCTTATAATCCAAGCTTGAAATATTTCATCAATGCGTAAATACTCACATTATGTCCTTTATATCAGCAGAAATCAAGGCCCAAAGCAGAGTTGAGTTCAGGATGCAATCCATTTCGTTGTTGCTCAGCGCCCTGCTGCTTTTAACCTCCAGTATGTACACCAGGGGTGGAGTTCTGGACTGTGTATCTGGTGAAATGCAAGCGAAGGAACAAACCAAAGGTCACCTCAGTGTCTCCCAACTCACTGTAGGCGATGTGATCCAAGGTGTCAAAGGAGCAGAACGGGCCCCTGCTTGGTGCAAAGTGAAGGCGGTCTACCCTTTACCACATAATGAGACGCGGACCACTTACGACGGCTTCACAGACACCCACATGGTCGTGGATGAAACAGTTCATCAGTACGGTGTACGTCAGAATGGAACAGTGCGCATTGGTCCCGTGTACACGCTTGCTACTGACTGTGATGCGTCTGTGAATTCAGCTGGCCAGGTCTTCACTCCTATCAACAACGGGCTCTGTCCCTTTGAGCTGAGCTGGGACGAGTACCTCACACTGATTACCGCTATTCGACGAGTCGCCAATCGAACTGGATACTTCTGGTTTGACCTGAGCGCCTACCACGACAATGACAGCGCCATGGTGCCGTATTGGGGAATGCAACTTTCAGCAATATGCCGCAGTTTTATGCAATGCGCTCGTGAGGACCATTGCCAAGAGTTTGAGATCATCATGGAGCGGTTTGTACACGAGTATCTGAACAAAGAATACGTGGAGATCGTTGAACGCGTTTTTCCCAATATCGGCGGTGAAGTAAGCAAGGAGCAAAGACGAACCTTTACAGAAGTGGCCCGTCCAGAAAAAAAGAAGAATTACTTGTTGCTGTTTACTGCCGTGGGCAGCGCCCTGTTTGCGCTCGTAATCATCGTGGCTGTAATCTTGTTGTACCGCGGACAAAAGAAGATGACTACAGTAACTAGGCCTGGACCTGAGATTACCAGTACTATCACCGTATGAGTGCTGAGAAATGGTCGTAAGAGTTTCAAGTTCTGAACTCTATAACTTCTACTTTTTGTAAGCTTTTAGTAGCGCAACTTGCATATTTTGCTGTAGCTCTTTATTAAGGTTAAAGATTTTGTAACTTAGGTGAATAGACACTGATTTTCATTCGTGAAAATTGAAAAACTAACACATCTTTGAGACAATACATCAATGTACTTAGCAATGAATTGAGTGGCCAATTGATATCTGTGCAGGATAACTATTTGATTTATCCAAGTTTTAATTAAAGCTTCATTATGTATTCAAGCATATTATTCCATTTGCAGTTGCTAGTAGAGAGGCAATAAAAACAATTTTATGAAGTTGTTACTTAAGTATGCTGTTATGTCTTTCTCAAAGTATGAGCAGTAATTGAACACATGACACTTTGCATTCGATAGAGATCGTTTATTATTATATAATTTAGAACTTTCTGTCTGCAGAAGCTCCTCATTAAGGAATTTTTACAGAGTTGATCAAAAGATTAACGTAAATGGTCTTTCGATCCGAAGGGCTCTACGTGAGATCTCAGTTTTTTCAGTTTTTTGATGGTCTTTGCTATGAGGCCAAATTTTTAACGTTTTAGGCTGTGTCCGATGAAGAAAAATACAAACTGAGGGATGAAAGACCAAGTTTTAAACAATTTGTCCCTGATTTGAACGATTTATGTCGTCGCCGGACAAATAGATTTATCCGTCAGCAAAACACTTCGCTGTCATCATTTCCAATACGGACCTCTGTTTCTGCACAAAGAACGAAAAAAACATTTGAAAATTCTTTATTTGCTGATTTAGTTTGGCAAATATCACATTGCAAAGGCCTACCTGAAATCTCGCTGCAAAATCAGCGAATTTAACAATTTTTGATCGGGGTCCAATTTTCGCTACAAAATGGAAAGTGTCTTCGGATTCTTAAAAAAAATAACCAGCCAGGCAAAGCAAAGTTCCCCAATTTCCAAGGTTAACCGCCATGTTAACCGTCTGGTGCTCGTCTGCAATGGAGTTATCCGCTGACAATTCCAATGAGATTGCTTTACAAGTTGTGAAAACATCGTTTCGATTTCATTGAAGAGGATGTATGGGAAGTAGCTTCCCTTCCCCCCCTCGTCTTCGACCTGCTGTCGATACGATAATGTGAAGCTTTTTAGAGGTCTATACAGGCCAATCTCAAAAATTATTTTCGCTTTTAATTGGATGTGTAATACGATGGGCTCGATGATTTTGTAGCTCTTTGCCAGCGTGATTCTTTTACAAATTATTTCAGAAGATACGTAAGCTAGGATTCCTCCTTCTCCCTTCTTTCTGTCGTTTTTATAGAGCCCGTAACCAGGGATGGGAAATTAACTGTTAGGATAGATGGAGTCAATTTTGGATTCGATATCATCCGTCGGATGAGATGATTCTGAAAAGCTATAAAGAGAAAATCAGATTTTGCATTTTGATTCTAAAGTAGATTGTTTCGGGAGGACGGCAGGAAATAAATAAAGTCATAAATAATAATCATAGTAAACAAACATTCATTGCAGCGCGTCGCCACAAGAAATTTTTGCATCTTTCGTAATATTATTCCAAACTCTGTAACACAGTGAGCGTTGCGAGGCATGCATGTCAAAAGTTAGAGACACGTTAATAGAAAATTTTCCGACTGAAACACCTTTCTCTTTTAATATAAGTGAAAGCTGATAAGAGAATTATACAGGCTTTATGGTGCCTTTAAGAAACCTCCTGCTTTTGATAAAAATTCCGCACTTATCATTAATATACTGCTTGTGTATTTGGAGACGGCATTCGTACCTTCGCTGCAAGCGTGCTTGGCAAGTTCACTTGGCAAAAGTAAGCGGATTTGGTCATTGTTGACTTCTTGGCGTACTTTGTCAAGCGGCCAAAATTGTGCTCAAACGCCCCACCTAAGCATAACTTTCTGTTCAAGGATTCCTTGAGTGATCAACGTGCACGTGTTATAGAATAAAGAAAAGTCACTAATTAGTTTTTGGTGTTACTGTTGGGTTTTTCGCTTATATGCATCATCCACTAAGTTGTGAAAAGTTTCTTCCAAGCCGCTCGCTCACGAAAGCAGACTCTTTACCTTGAACTTCCACTTAAAAAGATTTAAAAACACGGATTCCGCTCAACTCTTCGGTTCAAATTCCCCATCTTACCCCGGCAAGGTTCAAATTCCCTCCTTCCCTGATACAGACGACAGTCTAATGCCCATGGGTTGCTGGGGGGAGATGCTTATTGAAATTTCGAATTGATCGGCTCATTAACTGGCCAGAGCGGTTGAAGTTTACTCATCCCGAACGACAATAGAGGCTGACTGCGCAGACTTAAGATGTGTTGATTAATCCAACCGTTATGAAAGAGATTTTACATTTGTATGGATTATGAAAATCAGGAATGGGTAAAGGGAAATCTCGAAGGAAAATATGAGGTTCGAAAGTACAGCGGTAATATCCGACAACAAGAAAAGAGTCTGAGCACCAGATTCCCTGATTCCCCGCTTCTCCTTCCCCGTTCCATGTTCCTCATTCCCTTTCCCTCGTTCTCCTTTCATTGTTCTCCTTCTCCATTCTCCGTTCCCCGTAACCCGTTCCTCATTCTTCATACTTCGTTCCCCGTTTCTCGTTCCTTGTTCCTTGTTCCTAGTTCCTTGTTCCTGGTTCCTGGTTACCCGTTCTTTGTTTCTCATTCCCCTTTCCCCAATCCTCGTTCTCCATTTCCCGTTCTTGTTTTAGTAACATCGAACGAAAGCAAAAGTTTTAAACGTTTGTCATTGATCCACAGCACGTGTACAAGGGAATTCAGCGAGAATAATCCTTCACCAATGAAACAGATCTGATTCAGCGCCTGTTTGAGGTGAGATCTCATATTCTTTATTACAATTCTTTGCAAAAAACACACGGCAGTGGTATATTCTTAATAATATTGCCTCCATCAGATTCCAAAGGAAAACAAATGCACGGAACTTATTTACAGCGTTGTTTTGTGGAAGATACGGCGCGCAAAATGTTATTTGGCCAAATGTGCACACACAGCCAGTGCACTTTTCTAGGCGCCATTTACGGCTGGATACAACTTTGTTACCATTGCAAACGTGTTTTGCCTTATTCCTTCAAAGCCTTATGCTTGAGAAATCATGACTGATTCAGAGGAGGGAAACCGAAAATACCCAGTCTGTGTAATAATAATAACTTTTTACAGGAGCAACATCTCACAATTTGCCGAAGGATGTTGTTACAAATTGCGTAGACCGATAGTTCGTAGTATTACAAAATGCTACAGACTTCATTGCAAAAAGCTTTGCTCGCTTTTACTACAAAATGATGCTGCAACGAGTATTACAAATTCCGTAAATTATTTCGAAATGCCGAACCCATTATAATAATTACAAAATGCCTACGTTCTCTCTGCTGGTTTCCCCTAAATAACTATCTTGGTGGCTATGAAGTCTTCGAAACTGGTTTAAGGGATGAAGACTATTTTTATAGTCCTCTTACAGTTTTTCCACCAGCCCAAACCAGCTTAAACTTCGCTTTGTATCAATATGATATCTTGTAAAGAAACTACGCGCGTTTCATCGTTGGTGATATCACTTTTCTTTCTGTCGGATGTTTTGTCTTTAGAAGATGTTGTGATATATTTTAGGGATTTGATTATTTCTATAATTATTATTGTTATTTTACTGATCAGGGGCGTAATTTGTCTTCACTTCGGTTATTTTTTCTTCAATCTTTGTTTTGTAGAAATTTTTTTTTCCGTTTCTCTGATTTTAGTTTCGTGCGTCATAAATTCAAAATAACACCGAAAAAGTCACGATTTATATATTTTTTATTCCTATATTTTTTCTCTCGTCCCTAAAAACTGAAATATTACGGATCGAAATTCCGTGAAAAAATATACGACAGAAGATTCCGAGTTCCAAACAATCTCATAGTGGACAAAGATTCGATTGTTTTATCCTAGTGTATTGGCCACCCGGTTAGCTCAATTGGTTGGAGCGCCGGATTGTGTTGTGCGGGAGGTCGAGGGTTCGAGCCCCGGCCGGACCAATACTCATGGTCTTATAATAAGTGAGGAGAATTTGCTACCTTTCTATAATTAAGAATTGGATAGATCTTCTAGTCTTCTCGAATAAGGACGAACAAACCGTGGTGGTCAATTACCCTATGTGTGTATGTATGTAACTATGAATATGTGTTTTAATGTTAAGTTTCTTGATTTTAGTTTCGTTTGTCATAATTTGTGAACGAACACTGAAAAAAAGCACGATTTTTATATTTCTGTAAGGTAAGTAATGAGTAATGTTCTTCTCTCGTCTCCGAAAACTGATATTTCGGATCGAACTTTGTGAAAAATTTATGACAGAGGATTCCGAATCTTATAGGTCGAGAAATATTTGACTTTTTTACACTAGTATTTTGGTAATTATTAATATGTGTTTTAAGATTAGGTTCAAACATTGTTATGACTGTGGCTATTTACATAAATCTTTGTTTTGGAGGCGCGGTTTCTTAATTTTGGTTTCATCCATCAAACGATCGGGATACTAGAATCAGAAACTTCTACGTTTTCCATTTGGTGAGCAGCTTAAAAAATCATTCACTGACACTTGATTTTTTTTTTCTCTTAATTCTGACAGATGCTTGTTTATATTTGGCGATAGAAGATTAAAATGTGAGAGCAATCTTTGAAACGAGGTTCTCAATGGGGTTAACCGTTAGCCTAAAACGAAAAAAGAATTGTCCATTGAACGTAGAAAAATTAGCCATAAAATCGTTTCTTTTATCGTAACGGAAAGAGATTGACCATTAGCAGTGATATGCCCGAAATTCCAAATGTAAAGACCCTCTTAAACCTGCTGACGACTTGTTTTTTAATCGATCAAGTTGACATTTTGTTCTTCACCCACACGACTCTTGCTATTTGCCTTCATCTCCCTTTTACAGGTTTTACTTCGATTTCTTGGTTTTGATTTTTCAAGTCACACGAACAACGCATCAAACTCGGCACGTGTCACTTGCCGAGTTCAACGGTTCGTTTGTAAGGTAAGAACTAAAAAAAAAACATTTAGATAAAAAAAAAATATATGTAGTCCTTTTCCTTTTCTAAACGATAAAAAATAATTATACGGAGACTTGTTTCAATCATTGATAGAAATACAAGAGATCCAAACAATCTCAGGAATTAGGAAGATTTTTCGTTGCAAAGTTTGACGCAAAACGTGGATTTGTAGGTAAGATCTGATTAGCAATTCTCCCTTCTTGGTCCTACACAATTCCTTTAAAAAAAGTTTGGAGAATTCAATGTTAAGTCAAGATGGCATCCTTCAACTGATCAGTTTAGGTATTCTCAACACCTATTTGCATATCTATTATCATTTGAGATTGACAGGATTTGTTTTTCTTTCAGTTTCCCACTTCTGGTTTCACTAATCAAACGACTAAGATACCACTGAACGCGGCACGTGTTTGTTTTAAAAGGTGAGCTGTCTTTCTCTCGTAGTTCTATGGCTTCCGCCCATTATTTCCCACTTTTCCTGAACGAATTAACGTTTTGATTCTGTGAGAAAAATGTTAGAAGAATGTAAAAGCTCTTCGTGTAAGCGAGTCGAAAAAATAAATGGCTCCGTAACGCGGCAAACAAAAAGAAATGTTTTCTATTCTTTGTCAACGGATGTTCAACAAATCATTCTATCTGAAGGTTTCACAATATGCCCAAAATAAGCCGACAAAAAAAGAATACAAAAATGTTCTGTAACAGAAATTGAACACTCAACTCAATGAATCCAAAAGCGAATTTCTAAATCCGAGATGCTTTTGATACTCTGAACTGCGCGCAGATAAAACTTCAGCAAAAGTAATCAGGGGGGCAGGGGCAGGTCACTCAGTGTTAATATGAACCAGTTTGAAATTGTTTATTGATCGTTTTGCCATCTAAAGGACCAGTCGTTACTTTTCGCTGTTGGGAGGGGAGAGGGGAGGGGGGCAGGGCTGGAGGATTTTGGAAGATCACGTGATTCTTAGGGGGGAACAGTGGGGGATCAGCCGTCTCCAACGAAGAATAATGGGGAAGGGGACTAAAGAAAATTGACTGACGAATACCTGCCAATAAGAGAGGGATCATAAAAATTATTTATCCCCCCCGGCGATAAATAATGACTATCACTCCTGAAATTTTCTAACCGAGAAGTATTTTGAGGTCCAGTACTTTGTTTGTAACTGAACACTTATACAAGTGACAGCTGCAGGTGTTACTTCCTTGTACGTAATTTGCTGATGGGAACGTATCGCTGGGTGGGGTCGCATTTTCAGATTGACTCCAGAGAAATAGATCCTCATGATCCCTTGAATGACTATAATGGAGTCGCAGTTTTAATAGAGTCATTGGAAGGGGGTCATATTTCATCAGGGTTCTGGGGTTAAGAAAATTCTGGTAAGAAGGGATTTGAAATAGAAGATTTGAGGTTAAAAAGTCGTTACCATATAACAACTGACCAAAAGTGACAAAGATGGGGTCTGTAAGACTATTAATGGGGTGGAGGGTTCTGAGAGGCCAACGGCACATACCCAGCAACGTTTGATCTAAGTACCGCCTCCCATGGGGGGGAGGGGAGGGTACTTGCATGTTTTCACACAAATGGTTCTGAAAAATTTGTTCAGAATTGTTGTTTATGCGCAATTCATTAGCTCTGGGAAACCAAAGAAAGTAAAAAGAATGTTGCACTTGCTCCAACACGCATTCGAGGAAAGTGAGCACTCTGCGTAAACTATTGCAGAGAGATGGCTACCAAGAGTCAACATCTAATTTAATCATTCAAGTTTTGGTATTTTCACCTTGTTAATTTTTTTTATTCTATTTTAGGAAGGCATTCTGTTAAACTCAAGGAGTGATGAATAACACGCGGGAAATCCTAAAGAAGATCAGGATAGGCTTGGATGTTGCCACATATCTACTTAAGACTGATCGTGGTATACAAGCCACTTATTTGTGCGATGAATGTTTAATCTTACTCAATAATCTAGGCTTTGATGCTAACGGCCTGGATGTCTCTGAGGTAATATTCCATGCGTACTACGCAATCTCTGGTTACACAAACGCAGTACGATACACCAAAAAACTTATTGCCGCGTTCCACGATGCTGGAACAGCAATGATAATGCTGGGAGACAAATATAAAAAACGCAGTAGGCTTACAGAAGCCAAGAAACTTTTTGAAAGCGCAGTTGCTATCGAAAAAACAATTGGTGACAAAATTAAAGAAGCAATTTCTTATGGGTGGCTAGGATTTGTGTTTCAATCACTTTGTGAATATCAGAAAGCTGTAGAATATTGCGAGAAAGCTCTTGCTATCGCAACAAAAATTGGCTATAGGGAAGGAGAAGGAAGGTGCTATGGGAACCTTGGAACTGTGTTTCACTCACTCGGTGAATATCAGAGGGCTAAAGAATATCACGAGAAAGCTCTTGCTATCGCGACAGAAATTGGCGACAGGAAAGATGAAGGAACATGCTATGGGAGACTTGGAACTGTGTTTCAATCACTCGGTGAATATCAGAAGGCTAAAGAATATCACGAGAAAGCTCTTGCTATCGCAACAGAAATTGGCGACAGGAAAGGAGAAGGGACA